TGAGACTATATTTTGCTTCCTCTTTCCTCTTTCCTGTTTCATTTTCTTTTTTTTTTTCAACAAATTGCTCTCACTTGTTCAGCCACCGAAGGCAGAAGACTGTGGGTCAAAACATTTAGAAAAAGATAAGATCCATATGTCTTACTGTCACAAGGAAGCAGGTAAAAGCTGCCAGATTGCTGAAAATTTACCACAGCGTTGAGTGGGCTTGGTAGAAATTGTGTTTTTTTACAACCCTAATGCCCAAAAGTTTAGGGTGTGGTGTGTAAATCTGAATAAAAACATTTTTACATTCCGTCCCAAATTATTTGGAACTTGACTTGCATACATAAACTAACGCAAATTCTCTTCCTCCTTCATTTGTATTTCTTCAGTGGTCACCTTGGAAAGCTTCTTGACATAGTTTGTATTCTATCAAGCAATTGTCTGTTTAAGTAGTCTCTCGCCACATTTGGTATGCCCGAGGAGGAGCGCATGCAGAACGGAGCAACAGAGCAAGCATTTCCTCCCTCCTGCTGTCCACACGTCCACTCACACTTCTTAGTTACGAATCTGTTTGAATTTTCTTCACACCCCCACCTATCCCCCTTTCGGGTGAGCGGGAATCGGAGGAGTGCAAACGAGAATAGGAAATCAAATGAAGACGCGCTAAGCAGAAAGATTCATGTCTCACGACCCACAGAACGTTGAAACTTTAAACATCCAACCAATATGGAATTACTCAACCTAGCAAAAAAACAGCAAAAAAAAATGTCACCCTGGAACCCAGTGATGGTCGCAGCGCTTTTTTTCTTCTCCCTCACCCACCCACCCTCCCTCCCCCCCTTGTACAAACAATGAGATAAGCTGTGTACAGCCAGGCAGCGAGAACACAATGTGTCCACTATAGTGACGGGTCAAACTCCGAACTATATGGGCTACTCAGTATGATAAAATATCATCTTCACTGTCTGAATGAGCGTTGTCTCCTATTTACAATTGTCTCCTTTCAGCAGGAGGGTGATAAAAATACACTTTTACGGGTACTGATTTCCACGTTGTGTTAAAAAATACGGCCTTAAATATATCATTTTCACATTTCAGGCCTTTCACTTTTTTTCTTTTTTTTTCAAAGTTAGGGGTTCTTACTGGCACTGATGTTTCTTGACAGTGAAGCTCAGTGTCATCATTATGAGTAGCCCAGACAGGACGCCTTTAATCTGACTCGCGGTCGTGGTTAATGTCTGCTCCTGGAAGAGAGAGAGTCCTCTACAGTAGAGCTCTTCACAGGGGTACTTTCATTTGTCTGTTAGGCCACCATGTTGATTGACAGGGCTCATCATCCCGCAAACGCGACACCTTTTGCGTCAGTTGTCAGCACTCAGCTGGGTGAGGAGTGAGACTGTTCAGTCAGTCTCTCGCTGTTTTCGCACCTCGGTTGCAGCTAAGCGTCTGCTAATTGATTTTTTTTTTTTATGTTTTTTTTCCGCCGACGGCTCGATATGAGAGTCACCGTCGCTTTCGAGCGTCGGGGTTCAGAGGTCGCTGGCCTCGGCC